GATGTTTACTGTAAAAATTTTTATAGCTACTTTATCTGAAAAAACAATTTTCTTTTTCTAAGTTACTTCATTATCATATGCAAGTGTGGAATAGCATTATATATTTTGAGGCTACATTATTAGGTATATTCACATTTAGAATCATTACTTCTTTAATTAGTAAATTGACTCTTATCGTTATAAAACTGTTTTCTTTCAGCACTTTGAGGATATCTCTCCATGAGAATATCTCTCCATTGTCTTCTGGATTCAGATTATTCTGTTGAGAAGTCAGCTGTCAGTCTTATTTTTATTCCTTAGAAGATAATATATCTTTTGTCTGTGTCTGCTTTTAAGTGTTTTCTCTTTGGTTTTGATTTTCATTGGTTTGGTTCTGATGTAATTAGTGGCTTTCTTCTGCTTGAAGTCCATGGTGCCTCATGAATCTGTGGCTTGATATCCACCATCATTTTTTGGCAAATTCTCATTTGTTACCTCTTCAGATTAGCTTCTATCCCAAGCTTTTTGTTCTTTATTTTGGGGGCCATACTTATACACTTACATTTAGCTAATATTTTTAGTTTCCATTTTCTTCTTATGTATCATTTTACTGAGTCTCTGCTCAGGCATTTCTAATTCAAGGGTCAGCAAAATATGGCCAGCAAGTCAGCTATCTGTTTTTGTAAATAAAGTTGTTTTGTTTTGTTTTTTGAGTCAGAGTCTCACTCTGTCACCCAGGCTGGAGTGCAGTGGCAAACTCACAGCCACCCAGTGTTGACCCGCTCGACTCACACGATCCTTCCACCTCAACCTTCCAAGTAGCCAGAACTATAGGCACACACTACCATGCCTAGCTAATTTATTGATATATTGTAGCGGCGCAGTCTTACCAAGTTGCCCAGGCTGGTCACAAACCCCTGGCCTCAAGCAGTCCTTTCGCCTCAGTCTCCCAAAGTGAATGATTACAAGCCCGAATCACTTTACCCAGCCTATAAATAAAGTTTTATTAGAACACAGCCACCCCCATTTGTTTATATATTATTATTATCTACTTTTGTAATATACCAGATGAGCTGTATTTGCAACAAAGACCCAACAGCCTAAAAACCTAAACTGCTTATTGTCTGGCTATCTAAGAAAATTTTTTCCTAACTCTAGTCTAATTTACTATTAAATTGATCCATTGAGATACCAATTTATATTATTGCATTTTTATTTCTAAAATGTTCATTTTATTTTTATTATTCCTTCTTTGTTTCCAGTAAAATTCCCCATCTTATTGTTTTATTTCTTGAACATTTTAATCATAGTATCTCTGTCCAAGTTATCTAGAAAACAGAGCCCAAGGCAAAAGCTATGGGCCAACACTTAAGTTTTATGAATATGGGAATAGCATAAGATGTTGCCAGGTTGCTTTGTCAGGGAAATGAGACACGAAGCCAAGGCTGAGTAGTAGGAGGTAGTAGTGTTATACTTAAGTTTTTAAGTTTTTATCAGTTAATACCAATATCTGGATTTTCTATAATTATGTTTATAATGTCTATTGTTCAGTTTTGGGGTTGTTGTTAAATTTTATTTTTTGTGTGCCTAGTTACTTTAAAAGTTTGTGCTGTATTTTATTTATTTATTTATTTATTTATTTATTTATTTATTTATTTATTTATTTATTTATTGAGTTGGAGTCTCACTCTGTCACCCAGACTGGAGTACAATGGCTGCTCCCGACCACCGCAGCCTTGACCTGCTGGGCTCTGGCAATCCTTCCGCCTCAGCCTTCCAAGTAGCTGGAATTACAGGCACGCGCTACCACACCGGCTGATTTTTGATTTATTGTAGAGATGAGGTCTCGCCAATTTGCCCAAGCGGGTCTCGAACTCACGGGCTCAGGCAATTCACTCACCTCGGCCTCCCAAAGGCACGGGATTACAAACTTAGCCACCGAGCCTGGCTTGTGCTGTATTTTACAGCATAAAGGTTGTCTTTGAGACAGTATTGAGACAGGATTATTTTTGCTCTTAGTTCTTCAGTCTACCACTCTCCCAACTGGGATATTTCAACTACCCTAGTTTTTGCTTCTAGAAAACAGCTAGGTTAGCAGCCAATCTCCTTCATTCATTAAGGAATTAAAATAATTCAAACCTGGGCTTTAATCCCTTTGAAGGCTTGTCTCTTTCCTATTCACTTGTATTTCTAGTATAGAGCTTTCTGGGGGTCTCAGCTGAGAGCCTGTTGTGTTTACCAATACCCTGCATCTTGGCAGGCCTTGAGTGCAGTGCTTGCTGCCTAGCTTCATGAGTCTGATGACAGGTCTGCCCAGCTTCTGAGCCTCTCAGTCACCACTTGCAAACTGGAAAATGCCTTGAGTGAAAAGGTGGAGCCAGACGTGGTGCCAAAAACTGTGCTCACATTTCTGGGCTTCCTTGTGTCTGGGATTTTGACCCTGCAAATTCTCACTAGCATGGTAGTTCTCTGGTACCTTGAAATACATTAAATGTATTTTATGCAGCAGCATTTTTACTTATTCTCACTAAGAAGATTAATCAGAAACAAGCAGTTCTGCCCTAACCAGAAGCAAAGCTCCTTAGCATTGTTTTCTATCTCTGTAACCTCTATGCTGTCCCTACCCTGTCACCATAACCCTGCCCTTCCACACTCATCTTGTGTCTGGAACTTTTATACCATTTTATAACTCAATACATTAAACTATTGTTTTTCAATCAGTACCTGTTTAAAGTCGCTCATAAGCTATATTGATTTATTTATCATTATTGCTTCTTGCATCTCACTACTTTCTTCTGTATTTGTATTCGTTCTTGTTTGGTACATTCTTAGTAGTTTTTTCTCTTTTTTCCAATGTGTATCTCCAGGTGATAAAGTTTCAGAGTCATTTTGTGTCTGAAAATATCTTTATTTCACTGATTAATAATTGATAATTTGATTACAGATTGATAATTGATTATTAATTACTGATGAATAATTTGGTTGTAAAATTCTAGATCCAAAATTCTTGTCCCCCATCACTTTGTAGATATGACTTTGCTTTCTTGCATTCAATATTGTTTATGAGAAGTATGATGTTAATCTGATTTTCACTTTTTTAGATAGTCATTTTTTCTTTCTGATAACTTTTAGGATTTTTCTTTAACCTTCTTGATGTATTTTTTTTTAATGTCTGCTCAGAACTATATGAGTATTTTAAAGTGGAGACTTCTTGACATTCTTAAGGTCTAGGAAATTCTCAGGAATTATATAATCAAATATTGCCTCTTCATTATTTTCTCTATTGTCCCTGTAGGGTTTTTTTTAGAAATATAGTAACAGATTTATTGGTAGTTGTAGTTTTTAAATTTCCCTTTAAAAAATTAAGCTATATTATTTTGTAAACTATGTCTTCCTCTAAATATGGCATTAATATTTTCTCATATTAGGGAATATTATTTTAAATATTACATTTATAGGGAATATTAGGGAATATTATTTTAAATATTACATTTATTATTATTGTCATAATTTTATCATAATTTTATTTATTGATATTTCTTCCCAATTGCATTTTCCAGAGGTTTTTAAAATACATTAATCTCTTCTTAAAATTTTTTAATTGACAAAAATCGACATATTTATAGTGTATAACATGTTTTGAAATATGCATGTATTGTGGAATGGCTAAATAGGGTTAATTAATGTTTATTACTGTATATACTTACTTTTATGTTAAGAACATTTAAAATATATTCTCTTAGCAATTTTCAAGTATATAATCTTGACCTCCATGTCTTTGTTGGTATTTCTGCATCTGTCCTCCATGAGCTTAATTTTTGTGTTTTATCTCTTTTACTGTTTGTGCTATATCTGGGAATTTTTCTCAGATCACGCATTTGTTAATCAATAGGGAAGATAAGATAAAAATGGAGAGAGAACATTCTGCTTGAGTAAAATCGCCTGAACATAAACTTACTTCTGCCTGTAGTTACTTGCTCTCAGCAGTGCCCTTTTCCTTTATAATTAGATGCTAAATTGTTCATAAGTAAACACCATATATTTGTGTACAGTTGCATTTCTGTAGTTGTGCTTTTAGAATAATTTTTCAGAAATATCTACTTAAAGATATTATTATTAAAAATGTAAGAATCTAGGGGGGCATATCAATAAGGGTACCCGCACTTTACCTGAATGATGACCACTCACTTTTACTCCACATTTTAAAAATAAAATAATGAAAAATGTTTAAAATGTAAGACTCATAGGCCAGGTACAGTTGCACATGCCTGTAATCCCAGCACTTTGGGAGGCCAAGGTAGGAGGATTGCTTGAGCTCAGGATTTTGAGACTGGCCTAGGCAACATAATGAGACCTTGTCTCTACAAAAAGCAAAAAATTATCTGGTCATGGTGGCAGGCACCTGTAGTCTCAGCTACTTGGAAGGGTGAGGTGGGAAGATTGCTTGAACCTAAGAGTTCAAGGCTGCAGTGAGCTGTGATCATGCCACTGCACTCCAGCCCGGGCAACAGAGTGAGACTCCAATTCTAAGTAAATAAATAAATAAATAGGAATCCAAATTGTATGCTATATTGTGAGAAAACATCAATCTCTGTTTGATGAGTCTCAAACAGAGATGAGTCTCAATCTCTGTTATCTCTGTTTTTGTCATATTTGTATAACCCCTACATTAAAATCAAATTAAATGTTTCAGGAAGAAACAAATGCTAAATAAATGAACAAAAATTTTCAACTACATGTTTATGAGCCCATTTAAAGGCATGGAATTATCTAGAAAAACGACTCCAGGGATATTTCTTGAAGATTACCTGAAACCTCATTTATGACAAATCTAAATAAAATGTTACCACATCTTAAAATCCTTGGAATCTTGTATGTACCATAGTTTATTGTGATAGATGTATGATAACGCATTTGCATACAGTAAGCTAGTGTTCTTTACATCTACGTAGTGCCCACGTAGATGTGAAAAGCACTAGCTTACAGTATGCAAATGCATTATCTTAGTTCTTTTTGTCCAGACCAGATACACTGTGGCCAAAGACAGCGTGGTCCAGTTCTTCTTTTACCAGCCCATCAGTCATCAGTGGAGACAAACAGACTTCTTTCCCTGCACTGTGACATGTGGAGGAGGTAAGGCACAGATTTGCTGATGAATATTTAGAGCTCAGATTTAGAAATTACACATTTGTAGTTTTAAAGCTGATTTTAAAATCGGTGTGGTAATTAGAGAGACCTAATCACACAGCACCTTACTTGGCAGCTTGGAATGTCATGGTTTTAATGAATATACATTTGCCTTTATTCTTGAAAATGGTGAAAAGCTGGATTTGGAAAACACCTTTTAACTTTAGCAAAAAGCTAGTAAAAAGCATGTTTGCATGCGTTACTGCATATCTCTTCTTGATTGTCTTTAACACATGTATTATTTTAAACATTCTGTGGAAGACCTGAGAAGCAAAGAGATGTAGTGACTTGCCTAAACGGATCAAGTTAATCGGCATGTTGGTTCTGCCATTAGATTTCCACTTTATCTCTCCTCAGGTGCTAGAGCATAAACTTACCAAAAAGGGGCAGGGGGCTCTATTGAGTGGTAAGGGGAAAGTCCTGCTTATTGTCTGCTTATTTCAAGGTTTTCACAGACAGTTGAGGAAGGCTTGGGGGCAGGTATAATCCAGGGTTCCACACACATGCTACAGAGGACACATCTTTCAGGCTCAGGTGGAAGATAACAATTTTCTGAATATGGAGAAGCAGTGATTCCTGAAACAAAGGAGGAAGCAACCAGAACCACTGTCAAAATAATTTTGTTTCTGTAATCTGAATTTTAAGTCAAAGTATAAATGGCTATAAACTAGTGCCAAGCCAGGAACCATGACTTACTAGAATTACCAGAGGGACTTAGGTTGATGCTTTTCTTAAAAGTACTAGGCAGCTGTACTGGGCACTGGGCATTTACCATGTGTCAGGCCATGTGATAGATACTCACCATCACATTTATTCTTAAAAAAAAAACCTGAAGAGAGGCCTATTTTATTTCTATTTTATGCATGAACAAACTGACACAGAAAAGGAAAAGAACATGTTCAAGGTTGTTCAGCTAGTAAACAGTGTAACTAGGATCTGAGTCCAAGTCTGTCTGATGCTCTAAATAACTTTGCAATTATTATTTCTTCCCCGAATCATTTACCACGCCTGGGAACCGGGTCAGGGTACACAGGCTCAGGTGTGATCTTGTTTGAAAAGCTAGAATAAATTCTCTTTCTTCAGCCAGGCCTAGCCCTGATCTTTTCTTTCCTCAAAGGCCATAGAATATCAATCAACTTACCCAGAGACTCAGACACTGAGCTGGAGTTCTGACCTCTCTCCTTTGAACTACAGGTATAGGAAGGAGGGTCCCTCAATCAATGTCAGGTTCCAATGAATGTGAATTCCCGTGAAATGCATCTTTGGGCCTCCGTTTCTCTCCAAAATCAGAGTACTGGGAAGCCCAGACCCCAGCAGGAGTTTTGCCCCTGGGAATAAAAGAGAAAAAGTCTGAGGACTGACTAGAAGGAATGTAAAAAGTGAATTTTCCCAATTCGCCAATTATTTCTTCCTAGGACCAGAATTGGAGCAATAGACTACTTGATTATGATCCCACAGCAGTTCTTACAGTGGGATGCCTGGACCAACCGCATATGCATGACCCAGGAATTTACTAGAAATGCAGATTGTCAGGCCTCATCCCAGGCCAGAAACTCTGGGAGCGCAGGGCTCAGTAGGCCCTCCAGGAGATGATGGTACACACTGTACCTTGAGAGCCACCACCTGTTTAAGGCAATGTTTTTGGATATCAGCTGTAGCCATATTAACACCATTATTTTTGCCATATCTATATTACCCTTGCACTATTATTACTTGAGGATTTTTCTTTGAAGGCATGTTTTCTTCAACTTAAATTTTAAAAAAAGAATTCAATATTACTATCTTATGTAGAAAACTATCTCTTGTCATAAGTAGAACACAATCACAAAAATAAATACAATGGAAACAAGAGTGGAGTAAACAATCTTCAAGTTCCTGCCATCTCTCAGTTTATTTTCAATTCCCTTTTAATTTTGTTGACCATTATAAGCACTTTTATGAGGCAAAAGTTCTTTAAGATCTTTGAGTCATGACTCTCCCGCAGGCTCTAAGGGAAATTCTTGAAAATGTTTGACCTCTCTTAAAGCTGATTGAGGTGAAACACTGTTTGGAATGGAGACTGCCAGCTGGGTAAACCCAATGAAACTCTCCAAACCCAAGCCTCAGAAACTTTTTTTTGGTCAATCCCGTTCTCCAAAATTTTCATGCCAAAGTTTACTTCCAAAGGCAGCACAGCTTGGTGGGATAACAGTAAGGCTGGAATTAGAGGATCTGGAGTCACTTTTTGGCCTTGCTGCTAATTAGCTCTGAGACGTCTTTGAGCCTTGGTTTCTTATCTGTACATAATATCTCCCTTATAGCATTTTTTGGGGGAAAAGTGAGAGAACATTTGTCAAGGAACATAGTGCAGTGCCTGGCAGTCAGTGAGCATTCAGAAAATATCTGTTAATGTTAGAATCTAAACCCAATGTTGTAAAAAATGGCTTGGTATAGTGTATACATCTTTGGCTGTCCCCACTCCTGGCATTCTCAGTGAAACTGGTAATGAGTGATGTGACACATTTGTGGTCACAGTGGAACGTTCTTGGAGTGAGTAGGACATACCTACAGATACGTGCATGTATATTTTACCCTCTGAAGCTGAACCCACGACCTTCAAGGCAGATGGGTCATGATCGCAGAGAAAACAAGAGTCTTGCATAGGCCCCAGAATGAAAACAAAGAGATGACGGGGGATTTTTTACTCTTACTCTGAAGGAAAACAAGCATCTCTTTCTTTTTCCTTTTAAATGTTTTTTAGATGCAGGCTCTATGTTGTCCAGACTGGACTTGAACTCGTGGGTTTAAGGGATCCTTCTGCCTTAGTCTTCCGAGTAGCTGGGACTATAGGCGTACACTATGCCTAGCTCAAACATCTCTTTCTTGCTCATATAGTCCTTGGTTCTTATACATAATTATTCAGAGAAATGTTCCCATTTGGACCCATAAGATTAAAGATAAGATTTCTGCTCTGGGGAAGACAATTTATAGTGAGATTCAGCTTAGTTCAGTTGATTAAATCCTTGGGGGGAGAGTAGGTATTTCTCATACTTAAATGCCCACAGAAAGATAGAATCAGTCCTGCAGGAACTATAAATGTGCATGGGAGCACTTAACAGTGAATGTCCCCAAAGATAACAGTGGATTAAAGAACAGAAGGGAAATTTTAGGCTGCTTTGGAGTGTCTGCCATTTCCTGCACACTGGCAGAATTTCAGTGCATTTGTTCATAGTACAGAAAGACAACCTGCCTTATTTCCTTTCCTTTTTGTTACCTCCACACTGTGATAAAGTTAAAGAGAAAAATTAATTGTCTCTCCCCAAATTATAAACATTTGCATGCTCCCTGTGTCCTTTCAGAAGTATATTCCCATTCAGAACAAAGGTTTTTCTCTGACTCAAGGAGTTGCAGTCTTGTTTTGTACTTGTTTTGGGGGAAATAAAAACACACGCATAAAACCCACAAGGAAAGCATTACCAAAATTTAATTATATTAGTAACCAAATCTCCGTTATTTGTGTGAATGGCATTTCAGAGTTTTTTGGATAATCAAGAAAATTAGTTCGTAAGGTACCAGGGGTACAGTTGGATGGACTTTCCTGATCTTATCTGTAATCATCTATGTGAGACACTTTAAGATCAGTCTGGAGAAAGTTCCAAGATTGCCATTGCCATCTGATATTGTAGACTTTCTGGCAGATACTGGCACCCAAGTAACATTTTATTGACTCCATTTGGATTTTCATTCTTGTGGTTTCGACCTTGCTTTTTATAATGCATACCAGTCGTCCCTCTGCACTCAGCTTACATCCAAGCCATGTCTTGTAGAAAGCTGTCTAGTGGTTTAGAAAATCAGACTCCTCTCAGCAATCAAGACTTTAAATGTATTTTTAGACCTTTAGACCAATTGACTGAGGCAGAGAGCTTAGCTTTGGGCTTTTTTTTTTTGAAGAGTTCATTTGAGTTTTGAAAATTTATTTTTTTTAAATGTTTAACTTAACATGACACTTATGTAGTGACAAGAAACCTAGAATCAGATCTTTCAGGAAATAAATAGCATCTTTTTGTGAGTTTTTTTTTAACGTTTACAGCAATTATCTATTAGAAATATTCATTTTCCTCAGAGACTGTACAAATTAGATTTAATATACTCAGAAGGAAGTCTTCATTCCTTTCCCTTTGAAGGCTTGGGAGATAGTGAAGGGGTGACATGGTGGATGGACTTTGTTCCTTACTGTATAGACAATGCCTATTTCCTCCATTTAGAAAATGTATTGGCATTGGAGGTGCCCTTGGCATCCCCAGGGTCGCAGATGAGTAAAATATGGTATTGTATATATGCAAACAACAGAATATTATGGAAGAAAAATTCAACCCAGCGACAACCCAGCACAAGAGTAGTTCTCAAAAACATACTGTTGAGTGGAAAAGGTAGAAAACAGAGCAAAATTTAAAACACACTATCATGTATTAAGTTAAAAACAAATATACACAAAACAAATCACACAAGACAGTTTCATATTTAAGTATATATAAAAGTACAAAAATAAGTGTCTTTTGGAGGTGGGGATTGGAGTGGAAGAAGCAATAGGAGAAGAAGAAATGTAAGCAAGCAAGAGAGAGGGGCCCTGCACAGAGCCATCATGACAAGGATGGGATAACTCAGTGAACTGAGGAGAATGAATAACTAACCTGCACCTAAGATCCAAACATTTCTCAAGAGGAGTCTATTGTAACTCTTTAGGTATAAGCGCTAAGTCAGTTCAAGTCTTTCTCAGCCTTGGCCACACATTTTAGTCATCTTAGAAGAATCAAAGGATCTTTTTTAAAAAGAACTGATTTCCTGGACCCCAGCCACAGGGCTTCTGACTTCACTGGACCATGACAGGACCTAGGCTTTGGTGTATATTAAAAGCTCCCATGTGATTCTGGTATAGAGCCAGGGTTGAGAGTCACTGAGTTAAGTTTCTCAAAGAGGAAAAAAAAGTGAGTGGCAAGTGACGTTTTTGCCAAGTAGGAGTGGAACAAAGCAATATTCAGACTTCCCTTTTCTACCAATTTAGGTTATCAGCTCAATTCTGCTGAATGTGTGGATATCCGCTTGAAGAGGGTGGTTCCTGACCATTATTGCCACTACTACCCTGAAAATGTAAAACCCAAACCTAAACTGAAGGAATGCAGCATGGATCCCTGCCCATCAAGGTTTGTGGAATTGTCCATACTCTTTTTACTTTAAAAAGAAACAAACCTACTGAAGCTGAGACTGATCAATCTTTACAGAGTAATGTACTTTCATTTCCTGATTCTGAATATACACTGATATCAGGTGTGTGCATTCACATTTATAATTGTGGTCTATAGGAGTTAGGACACATTTGCTAATCTTGTCACTCAGTCTAGCACTCTCTTGTCATGGGCTGTGTGTCCCTAGGTGCTCTATAATAAACCTTTTTAAGTATCTCCTGCGTATACAGTACAACATTCAGTCCATCTGCCAGCCATAAATATCTTTCACTCACCATTTAAACTGGGACTTTTAAACTGGGTTGCCCATTATCATGTTTTGACTTTTGAAGTGTTCACATTAAATTAAGTATAAATAATACATTGTGCAAGGAAGTTAAAAGTTTTAATGCCAAAGCAAAAAAGCTATGCGTAAACTATCCTATTGCATAATTTAGTACCTGCTGACTTGGATTGCCTGGGGAAGTTTCCTGGTTTTACTACAGTATCCTAAAATAACAGCACAATATCAAGTCCCAGAATCCCCCAGATATCTGCCAACTGGCTAAAGCAGAAGTACACAAGTGGAAAAGGAAGCATTCTCAGCAGATTTCATTTCCTATCACTAAACTGCCCATTTCCTGTAATCCTGGTTGAATGTAATTATTAATAGAGACCCTTTAAAGCACAAATTCTGTGAAATAAACTGATTCTCTGAAGATCTTACTAATACGGCAGTGCATTAATATCACTATATATTTTATCAAAATAATGATAAAAAGGAAGACATTTATCTAAATTAAGAGAAATTTCTTCCTTTGATTAATATACCACTAGCTCAGTTTTCTGTATTTTCATATAGAATTGGAAATTATCCTGAGAATTAAATAGATGGTGTCTGAATTTTGGGGAATGCTTGATAACACTTGGCTTTTAGTTTTCAATTTCAAAGAGTTCTATCTCCTGGGATGTTAAATCTTGTATAAATCCATTAATAAATGTGTTAATTGATTTAGAAATAACATTTTCACAATGATTTCACTTGTAGTGATGGATTTAAAGAGATTATGCCCTATGATCACTTCCAACCTCTCCCTCGGTGAGTTACATGTTTTATTTTCCTTTTTGTAATTTAAGTAGCTTGGGAGGAATTGTGTCATCTGTAGTAATAGCCTAAAATGCATGGGGAATAAATATTAGATACTTTATAAAACCAAGGGGAAACAGACTTCAACTCACCAATAAGAAAGATCTTTGGATGAGTATGGTGGCTCAAGCCTGTAATCCCAGCACTTTGGGAGGTTGAGGTGAAGGGATTGCCTGAACCCACAGGTTCGTGAACAGCCTGGGCAACTTGGCAAGACCTCCTCTCTACAACAAATCAAAAAATTAGCCAGGCATGGTAGTGCTCGCCTGTAGTTCTGGTTACTTGGAAGGCTAAGGCGAAAGGATTGCCTAAGCCCAGCAGGTTGATGCTGGGGTGGCTGTCAGCATGCCACTACACTCCAGCCTGGGCAATGGAGTGAGACTCCAACTCAAAAAAAAAAAGAAAAGAAAAGAAAAGAAAGATCTTTTTAAAAATTAACTAGAATAAGCTGCCTCAGAAGGCAATGTTTTCCATCACTAGAGATGTCAAACAGGTCTTGGGTATTATAGTGGGAGCTCATGTATTGCAATTGATCAGACATTTGAATCCTCCTTTACATCTAGGTGACTAGTATGGTACTTTATGACTTTTAGGTTCTATTATTCTCTAGTAATATTACCAGTGGTATTTCATAGTTTAGAGATGGTTTATATTTTACTTGATTCAATTCTCATATTTGCCCAGTGAAGGTTAAGTAGGGCAGTTGTATTATCCCCATTTGACAGAAACCTTAGATTCAGAGGAGTTAAGTACTTTGTGACTACAGATTGTGTGAGTTAAGATTAAAGTCTTTTGACTCCAAGTCTTATGCTCTTGCAACTGAATCACAACTGATACCTAGAGATCACACTTTTTACATACATCTTTGCAAATTTGAAACAAGCAAATAACAAATAAGTAATATATTTCTAATTATTTGCTTTTGAGCTGGGAACATAATCCTTGGACTGCATGTTCCGTGTCCTGTGGAGGAGGGATTCAGAGACGGAGCTTTGTGTGTGTAGAGGAATCCATGCATGGGGAGATACTGCAAGTGGAAGAATGGAAGTGCATGTATGCACCCAAACCCAAGGTTATGCAAACCTGTAATCTGTTCGATTGCCCCAAGTGGGTCGCCATGGAGTGGTCTCAGGTAAAATTTGAAAACATGCCACATTTAATTAAATCTCAGGTTTTAAGGAATATTTTATATGTACCTAACATACTGGACAGCATGGAGACACAAAAGTTGTCCCTGTTCCCAAAGAACCTAGGAAGACAGAAGACAATGTCAAACAGGCTACAAGCATCATGGTAGGTAAGAATAATTAATATTAAGAACATTAATAATAATGTTACTATATCTGGAAGGAGTAGATGTGGCAGCAGAGTCAACCAGGAAGTCTTTGTTGCCCCTGTAGAGCTTAACCCATCTTTGAAGATATGTAGAATTTAAACAAGCAAGAACTTAGAGAGAACATCACTGTGGGAGAGGTCCAAGCAGAGATGGCTAAGCAAAGGAAGAGTGACAAGAAGTGACTAGAAGTTGAAAAGGGCCCCAATTCATCAAAATTGAAGAGAGAACCCATGTTACTAAGAATTGGAAGATTAAGTTGGAAATGCTGACATGACATGAGAAGTGTGTCCTTGATCTGGTAGCTAGTAGGAAGCCTCACACACATTTTTAAAGAAAATGATGTATTTTGGTAATTGAGGCAAGATGCCCCAACATAGGGAAAGATCAGAGGCAGGCAGCCTGTTTGGAAATCATTATGGGATCACGTGGTGGGAAAAAAGAAAAGAGAATAAGGAAAGCATCCCAGAGGTGTGATAAAGTTTTATGTTAAATTAGCTTAGTTTCCACTTTCAAGGGAGATGACTGAATAAACCTCCAGAACAAATACAGTGCCCTTGGATTTGTCAAAGGTGGAAAATACAGGCATTGGTATCTAATATTTTGATCTTAATCTTTTAATTTTCTAGAGCATGAGACATAATTGACTCAAGGTTCTTTAACTCTCTTAGGTGATATCATATATGTGCATTAATGTATCTATTCATCTATTTGCTTGGTTGTCAGCTACTGTGCTAGGAAATAAATAAAACTTGCTCCTATCTTCCAAAATCTTAGAATCCAGTTGCACAAATGTGCACATAAACAAATAGTTGTTATACAGTGTAGTACTATGCATGTAATACTGTACATGAGTGGTGTCAGGTATGGGTCCAGTACTTCAGGGACACAGATGGAACGATTCACTTCACTTGAAGGTGTCAGGAAAGACTTCAGAAAGTAAGTAGCACTTGAAGGATAAGTGAGTTTGCCAGGTGAAGAGCCCACATCAGTATTTTTCTGATATCCCCAGACTAAATGCCATTATCCTGTAGAACTTCATTCAAACTTGTTAGGAAAGAAGTTATCAATTCCTTTTTGTTCACATAACCCCTTAAAAGAAGTTTAGAAAGTTACATACCCCTTCACATAATTTTAGGTTGAGATCTAAAATTTCCTATCACAAGTTTAAATAATTACAAAGAATATCATTTTCAACATGTTGTGAATGCTGACATTTCAAAATAAAAGTGTTACATTTAAAAAAATCTGCCTAGTGGAATCTAAATGCCATGATAATTTCTATCCTTGCCATCTTTCATTTTTAAAAAAACATGAACAAGCTCTTCTTTAGCACTTTGGATATTGTGCATATTTTTCCCTCTGAATTCACATTATCAACCTATACTCCTCATGGAATTTTATGCTAATATAATGTATTTTTATGCTTTAAACTTTTTTTTACAGCAGCAATAGTAAACTAATACAGTACTTCATTTATTTTTATCAATCAGTATTTTTTATTATGGTTTTGTGGGGTACAGTTAAGGGTTAGGTGTACAATTACGTTTCATTCAGGCACCCTGTTGATAAGAGGTGTTTTCCCATCCCCCGACAGATATTTGCTACTGTTCATCCCATCCCCCTCCCCCCCATAGTTTCCCAGTACCGTCAGTCATTTTCTTATAGTCTTACATTGGATGTTCAAGGTCCATTATATGAGTGAGAACATGTGATACTCGGATCTTTGTTTCTGTGAGAGGTCACTCAGTATTATAGACTCTAGTTTCATCCAGGTTGCA